GCCTCCAAATCTATCTGTGGCAGTGAAATATATTCCTGCATGCCTACTTTAGGAAGAAAGAGTACCACCGAGAGAGAGAGGCTTTTGGAGCCCATCATGCCACCACCCATGGTGAGAGCTGGGTGAAAGGGCTGTATGACAGGAAATTACTGAACAGAAACACCGAACTAACACTTCAGGATGGCTGAACTAATGTGTGAATGAATAGAATTATGAAGCTTCTATAAAATTAAAGGAACGTAGGTATTAAATTAAAAGTTTCCCAGGTAATCCCACCCATAGGAAGCACAGATGACCAACTACTGTGACTTGCATGTTTATAGCCACTCTGGAATTCAAGCTTTGATTTCATTTCTATCATGGTAGGATGAGAGAGGGAGCCTTTTGGAAGGGAAGTCCTGAGAGGGGCGCCCGGAGCAGTGTGAGGGACTTCTTGCCTCTGTGCCCTTCTGTCCCTCTGCCCTGTGAGGACACCTAGACAGCGGTGTCTGTGAAGACTGGACTCTCAACTGACCCTCAACCTGTGGGCACCCCCAGTACCCGGAAGTCAGTTGCTATTGTCTATAAATGATCCAGTGCCGGGTGTTTTGTTACAGCTGTGTGACAGACTGTGATGATATGATAGTATTTATTTAACGATACTCAAAATTTTCATATGCAAATCAGGTAAAAAAAATTCAAACTTCCTAACATTTCTTGTCAGTGAGAGTGGGGAAGATAGAAGCAGTACTTTTGGAGGAAAGGTAATTGGTGGATAACACACTGATGAAGTGATTCTAATGCTGTTTGTGAAAATGTTAAAGATCTTAACAACCTAACAAGTCCACTGGTAAGCATTTACCCAATAGGTATACCCGTAAAACTATATTAAAAGCATAGAACAAGTATATTCGCCAAAGTGCTCCCCATAATCATAATAAAGACCAGAAATGATCTGAATGGCCTCTGGTGAGGTCCAGCAATGGGGGATGCCAGTGCCCTCTCCAAGAGCCCATACTGCAGTGTTGCACCTGAGGCAGCCTGTGACACTCTAGGGTGGATGTGCCATTGAACATGTGTCAAGGCCCATGGAGTAGCCACACCCAGATCTCTCACACACACTGTGGACTTTGCTGACAAATGTATCCCTCAGTGGGAAGGTACAGGCCACCACGCAGGATGGTCATGGTCTTGGCGACCGTGGAGTATGAAAGGCCATGTATTTATATATCCATTTATTGACTGTTGCACCAGCATGTAAACACATGTTTGAGTACATCATGTTGCAATTCCTCATGGGGAGTGGGTATATATACATAACACATCTTAATTCCCTTTAAAGTTTCCTTTCATGGCTTCAGGGGAAGAGAACAAGGAGTCAACAAGAAACAAGTTCTTCCTATGAATGGGCGCCATGCGCAGACTGCTGTGGGGACAGCCAGACACTAGCCTTTTCCCCTGAGTCAGCACCATTTGCAGACTTTGGGGGAGGAGAACAAGAAGACAACAAGAAGCAAACCCTCTCTTGTGATTAGGTGTCACACACAGGCTGCTGCAAGGAGAGCCTGATGCCAGGCCCTTCTGGCATGTGAGTTGGGAAACAAGGAGAGCCAGCTCCCCCACCCGCTTTGAAAGACCAGCTGATCTGGAGAAACACAGGCCAGGATGTTAACTATTGAGGTAAAATACAACTTAATGCTTATAATGTTTAGTGTCTCAACATGCGGTCTAAAACAGGTCTGATCATCTGTTCAACAATACATAATGTAGCATCTTACGGGATCTCCTGAAGGTGGTGGCCATTGTTAGTTCCCTATTATCTTGTTTTGAGGTCCTGTATCATTTTCATTGTTTTGCTGAATTGGGTTTTATTCTGTTTTGTTTTGTTTGACTTTATTATATCTAATGGCAGGAGCAGCTCTTTCAAAGACAGCAAGACATATTATGGTAGCCATTTTGGATTTACTATTATCTTGTTTGGAAGTCCTGCATTGCATTCATTGTTTTGTTTTTATTGCTTCTTTTCTGTTCTGTTTGCTTTTTACTATATCTGAGGTGTGGACAACTTTTTTGAAGACAACAAGAGGCATTATGGTAACCATTGTTGATTTCTTATTGTTTTGAAGTCCTGTGTCACTTCACTGGCTGTTTTGATTGGTTTTCTTTGTTTTATTTTTCTTGGTTTAATCGCTTTAAAATAAAAGTTTTAAAAAATTAAAATCTCCTTTCCTTTCCTCTTCCTTCCCTTTCCTTCATCTTTTGGTCCCCTTACTTCTTGCAAAAGATCTATCTCCCGTTGCCTATTACCTATCTTTCATCTTCCTTTTCTTTACAGTTTGAGTTTCTTATATAAGAGAAACCTTAAGCTTGTGTGTCTGTGCTCAGGGGCGATGACAGCATCGAGCAGAGGTGAGCTCTGGAGAAGGCTGGGCTCTCTGTTCACGCATTCACTGAGGACCCTGGTGACACGTGGTCCCAGAGCTCATCTTCCTGCCTGTGTCCGGAGAGCAGGACCTCCTCTGGAGATGATGTGGGTGCTGGCGGTGGAGAGTGGGAGAGGCTGCCACAGAACAGCTAACAGCGTCCTTAGTGGTGACATGAACCAGAGAGGGTCCGTACCTCCCCCACCATTCCTGTGGCAAGTTTGGACTCAAGATGAAACCTTGGAAGAGCTTTATTTTTCACTGTGCATTTTTAGTGCTGTTACATTGGTTGCTTTGTTACACTCTTATTTTATGATTTTAAGACAGTGGATAGAACTGTGAATCACTACTTTATTATCCTTATGATTTTCTATGTTAAAATATTACAGTTAAACATAAATGTAATTACAGATAGTTCAAATCTTCAGTTTTGATTCTCTGCCTGGGAAACACTGATTCCAGCATCAGGGGGTGCACAAACGTAAATTTCAGGGAACTGGCAATCTGTGGAGAAGAGTCTTGTCTCCTGTTTCCCTTCAGGGACCTGAGGGACTTCTGGGCTTTCCCTGAGCCCCACAGGAGAGAGGGATTCAGACAAAATGGTGTAGGGGGACCCAGGAGAACCTGGAGTCTCAGTGCACTGTGGAGGCCCAGAGCCTCCCTAATTGGCCATCAGAGGCCAAGTCCCAGCGCTGCCAGGTGCAGAGAATCCTGCCCAGCAGTGACCCAAAGTTCAGAGGCCTCTACATGCTACCCAGCTGATGAGGACAGGAGCAGAGCAAAGTGAGGGACCCAGCCCATCCTCTGGCCTCAGAACCTACAGTTTGCTGCAGCCGGGACCCCAGTGTGGATCTGTGCTGCTGCCCACCCCACTACACTGTCCAGAATCCAGCGCTGACCTGTGGCAGAGCCCTGAGGCCTCTGTGCCCACCTCACCACCTTGAGCACAGATTAAGATCGGGAGCAGGGACTCAAGCACACAGGCTTCTTGTGAGTCAAGAACCATGGTGTTGACAGAGCCAGGGGGTAGGCATGGTCAGCACTGATGGAAAGCTCTAGTTCTCACTTCCATGTCTCTATGTGGGTTAGAAGTGACCTGGTTACCATGGAGACCTGGGTTCTACTGCAGTCAGATCCAGGTGCTAGCCATGCTGTGGGCCAGCACCCTCACCTCCAGTCTGGATTTACAGTGCAGGTGTGTGCCCGAATGACTGCAGGACTGGAGAACTCAGCTCCCACGGCACTGTCCAGCACAGTGGTCTTCAGCCCAGGGTATGGACCTATGGCAGCTCCGTCACCTAAGCCCCAGAAGATGCTGTATGTGCTTCTTTTTCGAAAGCACACAGTGAATTTGCTGTGCAGGTAGCAGTGCCAGGAGCCCCTGGGGCACTGGCACAGGCTTCTTGGTGGTCACAGTGGTGACCTGAGGCCCCGGTGAGGCATTGTCCTGGGAAATAGCCAGAGTCAGGAGGCTGAACACCTTCTGAGACTTGCAGATGGGTGGTGAGAAGATCAGTCACCCTGGTGACAGAGGTCCTTCCATGTGGGACAACAGGGTAGGAGGTGCAGAGGTCCACAGGGCAGGTGGCTGGGGACCTGGGGGTAACTGGAGTGTCACGTGAGCTGCTGTCCAAAGCATGCACATGCTGTCCCATGCACATGCTGTCCCCTGTGTACACTGCACCCAGCTGTTAGACTCATGACCCAAAGGATCTTGCCAGGGCGGCTCAGCCCCAACTGTGTCTCTCTGCTTCCACTCCAGGTGTCAGCCCACCCACAACCCATCCTGTCCTTCATCCTCACCTTGGGCCTGAGTGCCTGGGCTGTCGCAGACTCCATCTGTGATACATGGGCTGAGAGGGCACAGGACACTTCCTTCCCCACATCATACCACTTGTTAGTGCACCAACTTCACTGCTCAAAAAGGCAAGTTGTGGGGCAGGGAAAAAGACTTCTCTGCACGGCTAGCAAACCCAGCAAGCAGGGAAGCTGCCACCAGCAGAGGCCCCTTTGGGGATGCAGGGATGGAAAAAAGCTTGATAGGAAGCAGAAGCAGGAGTAGTGTGCACTGCAGAGCAGGTCAGCAGATGCCTCCAGGCGCTCAGCAGCACTCCTGGAGGTGGTGTGACCACTGCTGCAGGCCTGGTAGACAGGAGCTCTCACAACCATGTCCTGATTGAGGAGGGAGAGCTGGGCAGTGTGGGATGGGACAGTGACCAGATGGTGCTACTGAGAAGCCTCTCTCAGGGGAAACAGGGCAGCTGCTCAGAGAGGGGCACCATGTAGGGGTGTCATCCCCAGAACACTGTCCACAGCAGCTCAGCTCTGGGCGTGCTTTTGCATTCCACAAAGCAAAGTCACCCACATAGGAAGGGCCCAGCACAGACACCTGAATTATTGAACTCAGAGAACATTTCCCCTTTCAAGGCACAATGAGCTCATCTGGAAGGGGATCCAGGACACAGCAGCCTCCTGGTCGTGGACAGCCTGACACTGACAGCTTCCTGTGCACCATGGGATATGTGATCGTGAGACTATGACCCTGTTCCTCTCACTCCCTCCACTGTCCTCTCTAGCTTGCTGTCCCAGCCCAGGGCCATGACGACCCACAGACATGGAAATCTCTCAATAGTGCCCTTGTGGGAGTTTGTGCTGGAAGGGTTCAGGGGAGGTGTGGAGACCCAGGCCCTGCTCTTTGCTCTGTTCCTGGTCCTGTACATAGTGACCATCGTGGGCAACCTCACCATGATCGTCGTCATCACCCTGGATGCCCGCCTGCACTCCCCCATGTACTTCTTCCTCAAGAACCTGTCCTTCCTGGACCTCTGCTACTCATCTGTCATCACCCCTAACACTCTGGCCAATTTCTTCTCCTCCTCCAAGGTCATCAGTTTTGCAGGCTGCGCCACTCAGCTCTGCTTTTTCTCACTACTTGTCACCACTGAGGGCTTGCTCCTGGGGGTCATGGCTTACGACCGCTTCATGGCCATCTGCAGCCCCCTGAGCTATGGCATGACCATGTGTCCCAAAAGATGCACCCGTCTGGTGCTGGGAACCTACTGCGGAGGCTGCCTCAACTCCATTGCGCAGACCAGCCTCACGTTCCAGCTCCCCTTCTGCAGCTCCAACCGCATCAACCACTTCTTCTGTGATGTGCCCCCACTGCTGCAGCTCGCCTGTGCTGACACAGCTCTCAATGAACTGGTCATGTTTGCCATCTGTGGGCTCATTATTGTGGGCACCACTCTTGTGGTCCTCATCTCTTATGGCTACATCACAGTGACCATCCTCAGGATGCATTCAGAGTCGGGGAGGGTAAAGGTTTTCTCTACCTGTGTTTCTCACATAACAGCCGTGTCCCTGTTCATTGGGACCGTGTTTGTCATGTATGCACAGCCAGGGGCAGTGGAGTCCATGGAGCAGGGCAAGGTGATCTCCATCTTCTACACCCAGGTCATCCCTATGCTCAACCCCCTCATCTACAGCCTGCGGAATCAGGATGTAAAGGATGCCCTGCGAAGGCTGGGACAGAGACAAGTGGCCCTATGAAGGGGTGGTCAGTGAGATGCAATGTCCTGGGGTAGGAATACGGCTGTAAGGGACCACTGTGTGGGTTGAGAATGTTTATTTCCTTCCTTCTTTTTTCTTTTTCTAGCTTTCTTTCATCCATCCATTCATGCAACACTTTTTGAGAGCATATCATGGAACAGATATTTACCTTAAAGAATCAGCCATGGTTTTTCCTCCCAGAAAATGAATGGTTCAGAGATGGAGTAGGTTACTTTCTGTGGGAGTACAAGGCATACATACTCACCTGCACTGGCATTCAAAGGGATTTTCTCTAGGACAGGGAGTGGATATTTGGGGATGGCATGCACTTTTGATTTAGTTTTGAAAAAATCCCAATCTCTAATTACATCCACACACCAATCTCCCTTCTGGACCCCGCCCAGATGCAAGGCTGGTTCTTGTGGCCTGTTGTGGTCACGGTATGGAAATCCTCCTCCTCTGCTATTCTCTCCTCCAGCTCACATTCCACTGACAAAAAGACCTGTTTAAAACCACTTTAACTCTACATCCAAGCGTTCCCCATGAAGAGTTTGTCATCAGTGGCTGGATCTGACAAACAGTACCTCTCTCACGCAGGAGTTATCTGGGGTGAATATGGTGGTGGGTACATACGTATGATCTGATTAAGCCATAAGTCCTCGGCCTGGGGGTCCAGTACCACTCAGGTTAGGAAAAAGATACTTGATCCCACAGTTACTTCCATGTATGCCTCATCCTTGTCCCTCCCATCTAATCCCTGGCCAGACCCTGACCGCAGTGGCCCTGCCTGCAGGAAACTATCTATGACAGGATCACGTTTGTCTTTGTTCTTCATTTCTGTGGCCTAACATCATCTTCATGAGGCAAATCCACAATTGTCTATACTAATACTTCCTTGATTTCTCGTGATGTAAGACCGCAACATAGGAAAACAGCATCTGTTCCCCTCTTGAGGGACTCATGCATGGTTTCCAGTTATCCCCTTCTAAGCAATGTTGCTATCACACTCTCCCCATGTTGCTCAGTGTATGCAGAATGGGACGCTGATGGAAATTCTCAGGAGTGTGATTGCTTGGTAGGGGGGTAGACATAAGTGAGCATGTTATATAAGTGCCAAAATTTAATTTAGTCACTTATGCTGATATTTCCTATGGTTTAATTTGTATTTCCCTACTAGCTAGTGAGTGCTCACCTCTTCATATATTTAGTAGCCATCCAGATGTCCTGCTTGGGGTTGTTTTGTGGTCTACATTTTTGGGAGTATTCTCTGCTCTTTCCTTGTGAAAGTTATTCACACTCCCTGAATCTGAGCACTTTGTCAATTAGGTAATTTTCAAATATATCCTCTCTCCTGTGTAGCTTTTCCCCCACCAACTATTTTTGTCTGGTATCACCTGTAGAGCAGACGTTCTCACAGTTGACTTTTAAGTTTGTCAGCGTGTCTCTTCATGGTTAGTGAATTCTGTCTCATGTTAAGAAAAACCTCAGCCTACTCCAGTCCCAGAATCTCCCTCTGTCTTCCAGAAGTTAGTTTGCTTATTGTTTCCTGTAATCAATCACAACTTACCTGAAGGAAATGTAGTGATCGACTTGAAGGAATGTAAGGTTCCAGTTTTCTTTAGTTTTGTTTTTGGCCACATATCTTCCAGTTGATCATTTGTACAGGAAACTGTGCTTTCCACGAAGAACCCTACAAAACCACCTTTTCATAAGCCAAGCATCCAGGTCCATGTGGATGTGTTTCCAGATTCCACTTTTTTCCAAGATACTCTTTGTATAGCCTAACACTGTGTCACGATATATTACTAAATTTAAGAATTAAAATACAGTACATGAAAAGATAAAACCAAAAACTCCCAGGAAGTCTTGCAGTCAAATATAAAAATAACATAAATATAAAAAAGGTTTAGAGTAAATAAAAGAAAGATATGTGCTTTTTGAAGCTGTACAGGAAAAATATAAATTTTAAATTTTACTGATGCGCATCAAAGGAGTCCTGAGTACAATATCCCATGTGTGACAAGGGTCAACATCAGAAATATTTTTATTTTGAAGCTTAATTTGTAAACTCAACTTTTTTCTACATGACCAGATTTTTCTAATACTAAAGTATCTGATTCTATAATTGTATGGATTGTAACAAAAAATATTCAAAGAACTTCTGAGAAGTGAGAGCAAGGGGAAGGGAACTACTCTCTTGAAAAAACTTGAGACTTCTTCCAAAATTATGATAATCAGAATTGTTGTTGTGTGTCTATGGGAAGTAGAACAGGGATTTCAAGGGGTGAAAAACACTTGAAAAGCCACTGGAACTCCAGTGGGACTCCAGTAGGGAGGGCTTGAAGTTTTTAGTGGTATAGAGGACGAATACAGAAACCAGGGATTAATTAGGTGCAGTTATTTCATTGGTTCTGTTATTTTGAGAGACGTTTAACCAGATAATCAAAAAGAAGGAGGAAGACGAGAAAAGGAGAAAGAGAAGGAGAAAGGAAAGGAGGAGGAGGAGGAGAAGGGGGAGGAAAAGGAGGGGGAGGAGAAGAAGAAGAGGAAAGGAAGAGAGAGAATTGAATACCATGTATTGCTCACCTGGAACAGCCAAACCCCCAATAATTCATAACTGGCAGAGCCCTAAGTTCTCTTCTCGTGGAACATATTCCCAAAGGCAGGCAAAATACTCAGCGATTCAGTGCAGAAAGTAAACAGAGAAGCCAGGGGTCCGGATGCCATACGCTGGGCCCCAGGAGTTTGCCCTCGGGACAGTGACTGCAGCGGACCCTGGCCTGCTCCCGCGCGGGTTTTTTCCTGTGCAGTGCGTGTCCAGATGCAAACCTCAGCGGGAGCAACCATGCTCTTCCTCTATTAGGAAACTCGGCGGGGAGTGGGGGGAATTAACCTTACTGCCCTTCAGCAGGAGCGTGCACAGATAAGTGGGAGTACGTTTATATGATGTTTAAAATAATAGAAATTAATGACCTAGAACACGGAAGGATCCTGCGAGGAGGTCAAGATCCCTGAAGACTGTTTTGACTCCGAGCCGGAGAACTGAAAAGCCGGTATAACGGGAGTGTGAGGTCGACCTTCCCTGCGAGAAGAAACCACCACCTGAAGCGTAGGATACATTCCCCGGCAGATCTGGGAGCCAGACGTCCAAACCCACGCTGTAGGCGGGATGAGGCCGCCTCGGAGACAGTCTGTCGGTCTGTGTCCCTCTGTGTGTCAGTCTGTCTGTCAGTAGCTTAGCGCGCCCTGCAGAGCTTCCCGCCCCACTGCTGCCTCGCCGGCGGCCTGCCCTTCCCCACCCTGCGCCTGCATCTTTTCCTCCTCCTCAAGGACACAGTAAGACACCAGGCAAGCCCAGCAGTGGAGTGTGACCTTGCATTAAGTCCTCTGACCACAAGCGCCTATTTTGCAAATAAGGTCACATTTTGAGTTTCTATTCAGGCACTATTTTTTAGGGGGAGGGAAGAGTGGCTTCAGCCAATTCCATCGTTGTATGTGCTCCAGAGGCATCACAGTCAACAGCAGCAAATGCAATGTCTGTGCACGTCATTTCATTCCATGGCGACACTTTTATTCACTCCTAAAATCTGAGTGTTAATTGTCTCTTTGCTCAGTTACTGTGAGAGCCATGGTAAAATTTCAGCTCTCTTGTATTTGATTTATGTCCGCTACTGGTTTGGATGTGTACAATTCATTTTAAAATCTGTGATTCTGCTATGTATATTTTACACCTTTGCAGCATAAAAACTGAAAAATTTCATATCATCTGCTTGAATTTCATATATTCCTTTTTAGATGTCCTTTTATGAGTAAACTTTTTAACTGAATATTTTATTTGTTTGACATTCATATAGTCATACCACGTTTCTTTTTCACAAAACATACAAGCTATAAATTACTTCTGTCATATGTTTTAATATTTTCTATATTTGTACATTAAAAGTAATCTCTTTTATACTTCAGTCTTGGATTTATATACCACGTTTACAATATTTTGTTATAATAAATATATTTAACTAAGTATGATGCAACCTGAAGAGGGTTACAATAATTAGAGATGAGGTGTTTAGCATTATCAAGCATAACTATAATCAATTGACATACATGATATTATGTTTTAATGTATGAATTTATACTAATAAAAATTAATTTATACTAATATAAAAATATTCTGTACTACTAATCTCTGAGAGTTCATCAAAGAGAACAATTTGTGCTTTCATTGTTTGATCAATCATTTTTTCATACTACATCTTGTAACCTGAACCACTACTTCTAAGATAACAATATGCATTATATTAACTAGTGTTAGTTTCTACTATTTTTTTTAAAAATCTGTACCATTTCTATCCTTTTTTCTGCCTCACTTTTTAAAATAACAAAATTTTAAAATACTCATCCTGGAAGCTGCTCAGGTGTTTTGAAATGGTTTGTAAAGAGAGAAAAAAAACACATTTGTCATGCCTTTCTTATGTGACTGTCATGCCTTTCTTATGTGGTGGGTTGTATATAAGTATTCTTTCCGTATCAAGTCTGAGCAAGGAGAGAAAGCTATTTCTCAAAACAGAGTAGCAGTTATCAACCAAGTCTGTCTTAAGAAAGCCATTGAAGCTAAGAAAGAATGATGGGATTACACTGTCAGCCTTTTGCCAAATCCAGTGAATGAATGAAAATGGGCAACACTGACCAATGATCTGATCATCACGTTTGTCTTCGGAGAAGAGCACAGTGCCTCCCATGGTATATAACCTAGTCAATAATGGCGATAATCATAAAATATCATCGTCACAACTGGATCCAATTGTTAATAATAGATATAGGACAGAAGAACATGGTGAAGAGCACCAATGAAGTAAAATGACCAAGTCCAGTCTATGGGAAATTCAACAGGACAAAGATACAATCTATTTAAGATAATGTAATGAGTAACTCTCAGGGAATCCCTTACAAGGAAATATTTCAGACACAGGTGGTTCAATATTACCAGGTCTCTCTAACAT